TCATGAGTGCATTTCTTGAGCTCGAGGGATGAAGATGAGTTGTAGGGAATTGGACTCTCTTCAAAATGAGCCTTGGATGAGAAATTTATGATAAAGTATGATAAAGTTATGCTTGGTCAAATTTTGATTGACTTTTCCTGAGAAACCCTAATTTAGCAACTTTTGAGTTTTGATGAATTAGGAGCATTCCTTGGGGAATCATGATCAACTCTTGATAAAATTATGGATATCACTTCAAAATGTTAATGTTGACCAAAATCTTGAAGTTTGACTGTATGTGGGCCACAATTGACTTTTGACCTGACACAATTGATTTTCAAGCATCTGAGCAGTTGACTGGGCAAATTTCTTGTTCAAGGCATGAAACTTGGCATGGATGGTCTTGAGAACATATTAGGACTATGGAGAGCATATGAGGCCTTTGGATCTCACCCATCTTGATGAAAATGGAACCCTAGTTGGAGGTTCATTGCTTTAGGAGAGAGTTTGTCTGGTCAACTCTTGGGCATCCTTGAGCAAATTGAGGATCTCAATGAACATATGTTGAGTAAAATGGGAGGGAAAATTTTGGGGTATAACAGTGTCTTATTCCGGCTAAATTTGTGGAATGGACGACACATCATGCAAAAGAGGCAAAAACTTAGTCAAATCAGTTTTTGGAAAAGATGGTAGAATTCGCCAATTTGATGAAGCTTGAGAGAGAATCAAATAGGGAGAAGTCTAAGAAAGATCTGATTTTAAATTTAAGTGGTGACAATTAGTTTGGTGCATTTTAGAATGTAATCGAATCATTTTTTGAATGCATTTACGAACATATTGTAAAATCTATACGTTTCAATACATATATAACATATTATCTATATTTAGTTTTACAGTTGTTTATGTTTTCCATGTCTCTATGGTACAAATAATGATGTCGATTCTGCATAATTCGGAAGTGCAATTCCGAATTAACCTTCAATTTAAAAAAAACAACACAGGGCTTATTTCTCATATGAACTTCCGAATTCACCTCCTATTACTATAAAAAATGTGGTGTTTTTGGATGTTCATTTCCAAAAACCCCTTATATTGGTAAAAATAGGGTTAATTCGGATGTGCACTTCCGAAATATGTCCTGATAAGATTTCTTTGGTCATTATTGCTCTTAAAAGGCTATAAATTGATTCTCTAAACCATTTCATTCTCCATCACAAACCACAACCATAAATGACACAAACATATCCACACATTGCTTTTGTCTACTTTAGTGGTGCGCAAACGCCACTTCAATTCAGCTTCTCGCAGGACACGTAGTTCACTGAGCTTATTATGATAATGCATTCTCTCTTGAAATATCTAGAGAATAGAAAGGTGGTCAATCTTGAGTATCATTCACCTTCACTTGAGACTGAAGGAAACATAAAGTTCACCCAATTTCAGCTGAAGAACGACGACGATTTAGAGGTTATGTGGGGTACCTTTCAACGATGCTCTTCTAAGGGGTCTGATTGAGATGAATGTGAAGCTTCAAAGATAGGCATAAGATCTTATCAAGATGTTTCAATGTGATCAACTTCCTGTTTATAACAATATGTAACTTTAATTTGCTGCAGAACTATTTATGTAATTTCTTTGAATTATGTTGAATGAATGTTATAAATTATGTTGAATAGTGTTAATTGTTCTTACCAGAGATATATTTAGATATGCATATCCGAAATAAGCTAATAGGTGAACTCAGATATGCATATCTGAAGTAAATTTAATAAATCACATTGATGGTACATTCAGATATGCACTTTCAAATTCTGGAGGTATTTTGGATTTTTCGCCAGAGGTCTAGAAGAAGTGTACTAGGTGTGGAAAGAAATTCTCTATTTTTTAAATAAACCGAGTACTAGTGGGAAATTACCTTATTCTAAGAACGAATAGTTGAGGTACTACCCGAGTTCGATTCTTAATAAAACAATGATAATATGTGGATCGGAACTGGTTGGCTAAATATAAAAATAATAAAATTTTGTTTCAAATAATAGTTTTTTGATTTTTTTTTAAGTTTGAAAATGATACATTTTTGGAATTTTTTGTTGCAATAATCAGTCTTTAAAAAAATACATCAATAATCATGTTTCTGGAATAATTACGCACATAATCAGGTTTTAGAAATGGACAAAGTGGTTAAGTAATCTCATATGGCGCATGCACCTAAAAATGCATGTAGGCGCCATATGAGATGGTGCATGCATTACCAATAAGCCACATGAGATGTCGTATGCATTCATATTTTAGGAGGAGATGTCGTCTCATATGGCTCCAACATGTATATGGGTTTTCTATAAATAAAACCCCCTTCCCCACGATTCTTCACACATTTTCCTTAGTTCTCTCTAATTTTTTCATCATGACATCCAGCATGATATTCACAAGAGAATGGAATGTTTTTTCTCGGCCACCAAACTCTCGATTAAAATGAAATTTTGGAACATCCATTCCATGAAGCATCTTAAGAGAGAGTTAATCCGATGGTTAGACGGGGACATCTAAGATAGTGAAGTCATTAGAAGAATTCAGAGACAAAGAACAACCACATCACTTGCGATCGGAAAACCTCGACATTGGTGGGAGGATGTCAAAAATGATAAGGACGTAATGGTGATGATGCATGAATCAAATAAAATTGTTTTGATAGTTGAAATTTTTTAGATATTTTGTTGTGTTAACTAATTTTATCCGTTGTCTTGTTATTTTAGTCTTGATGTCATTTTATTTCGTGTTTGTGTTCGGTTTGTTGTAACCAATATTCCTAATGAAAAAATTTCAGTTCAAATATAAAAATAAATTACAAAGTGTGCATATATTTTTTATGTTTTTGAGCTTGTAACACGAGTGGGACAATTTTTTCGGTTGTGTCCGACCTGATGGTGTAGCGGTAAAATCAATAAAGTCACCACCGAGTATTTATTTATCCCATAAAAGGGAAAGGAAAGTCATCGAAGAAAAACCTAAAGGGGGAAATCAAGGTCTTGCGACCGAGAGATTGGGTAAGGGAGTCGATTACGTGAGGGGAAGGTATTAGCACCCCACACGTCCATAGTACTCTACGGGATCCACTCTTGTTATTCTAATCAAAGAGTGTGTTCAATCTAATTCTTAAGGGTTATAAACCAATAGAGAATGCATGCAAAGAAAACACGGGGAAAAGAAGGAAATTTTTACAAATTTTCGCTTGGCTGAGCCCCGTGACCAGATGCCTACGTATCCCTTTTAAGGAATCAGAGCATCGTAGTTCGGCTCATATATTTTGTTTGTTGGTATTTTTTTAAAATGAACAATGTTGCATTCGATCATTCCACCACTGCTCGACCTTTGGAAACTTATGACCTGTAGTGGAAAGGAGCTAACATGCTCTTAGAAGAGAAAAGCCGAATGGCGAAAAGAAATAGATTAGTTGGTATTTTTTATCATGAAAAGAATTTTTATATGCTTAGCATTTTTATTCATTTGCCAAGAAAAAGAAGTTTTAGTTTTAAGTGAAATTATGCAAAAATGGGAAGAGAACATTCAAGGGAGACTAACCTATCTCTAACCTAATGTTATCATACAATGAGGGATCCTTTCTAAGTTATCATGCCAAAGAAAGTCTAACAAACTATCCTATAGGGAACATGCACTGAGAGCGAAGTCGTGATCTCAATTTCTAAATTGAGTGACTCATCGATCAACAAGAAATAAAGGAAAGCGATAAAATTCTATAGGGAGCATGCACTGAGAGTGAAGTCGTGATCTCAATTTCTAAATTGAGTGACTCATCGATCAACAAGAAAGAAAACAAACACGAGCACAACACATATAAGAAATGAAGTGCGGAATGCCTGCTACAGGTCTTTAAACAGCGACTTCGAGCGCACGCTCTTTATCTCCTACTTCTCGTGATATTTGGAAAGGATAAATGCGGAAGTATAACTTGGAAGCAGTATAATACCAAACGAACAATAAAGTCCGCAAAAAGCATAACCAAAGGAAATAGACTCAGAATACTTCGCGCGAGCTGGCATCAACAAACAAACTGTCAGAGATCGAATATTTGGAATAGGTGTCGAAGCTTCATCGATGTGAAAAATAAATCATAATAGGCATCCAAAACACATCCGCATATCAAATAATGAACCTGCATAAGACTCAGCTCAACAAGCAAAGATGAATCACAAATCTCAAGTAATCGAAAAAATTTAAGAATTAGTTTCCTAAAAAATCAAAAGAGACATCTAAAAAAAATTGTAGTATATAAAAAAACATTCCTAAAATCTATATTTTTTTTATTGTTTTCATCATATGTATTTTATTTATTATTTTTTATTATAAAAGAAAGAAAATTAAACTAAAATAAATAAAAAAATTTAAAAGAATGATGAATTAGAAAGACCCAGGGGGTGTTAAACTGGGATAGAGGTATAGATCAGCATTCCTAAGCCTAATTCTGCAATGAGCCCTACAGTTTTTTTTTTGTTTACAATCACTAGTGGTTGGAAATTTTTCTTGGGCTTAGAGTATAATGTTTCAGTCCAGATCTAGCAGCATGGTCCAATGGCATCTCTCCTTTTTTTTACTGCACCTCGAACAAAAATGCAGAGTCTGGGCTTATGGAAAATAGTTGTGGCCAGACCCATTATTTAGGTTGTATATTTCAGCATTTTTACTAAAATAAAATATATGAAAAAATAAATATATAAAAAAAATTAAGAAAGGATTAGGGTTTAATTTCATTGTGACTATTCAGATCCCTTTTTCTTCTCACTTCGGATCCGTCGTGACTCTCCCACCTCATCCTTCTTCTTATCGCATCCGTCTCAATCCTCTCTGCCGGTAATGTCTGCTTCAAAACTTCACCGTCTCTCGATGTTCACTACCATCTCTTTCAATTCTTGCTCCACTCGCGATTTCTTGCTCATGATGCAACATCTCTCCGCTCAAATTTTCACTCGCTTAATCTTCATATCAGTTAATCGCAACCTTATTGTATGGACAAGCTTAAACAAAGCGCAACCAGGCATCAGAGAGATGAGAGATTCGAAGATAAGGCTTACCTGTCGGAGACAAGTACGGTGCTTCTCAAATGCGGCGAGGATGATGAGAAAACTGACACTCGTTTGCACAGAATTCAGGTACGAATTCTCAATTTGCTTTTCCCGTTTCTTCTCTTCTTCTTCGCTTATTTTTTTGCCGCTACTTACGCTTTGACTCCTTTATCTTCTACCAATGAGTTCAAGTACAAACCTGTATACTTTCTGACTTTGAGTTTAACCTTCAACTCTTCTTTCCTCTATCTGTATTCTCACTTCTACCGATTGTTGTTGCAGACTCGAAATGATGTCGTAGAACAACGATAGAGATGATGATTGAAGTAGTTGCAGAATCGCGGCGAACGATAGAAGCCATATGTTGATGATTGATAATGCTGAAATGTCCTGATGTTGATGCAGGGAGAGATTGATGATTACAGACTGCTAAAGATTTGAGATATGATGAATGAAGGTTGAAGGGGATTCAAGAAGGAGGATTGTGGTGATCAAGGTTCAGAGATTTCAGGGAGAAAGAGAATGAAGGTTTAAAGTAAGTAAAGAGAATGAAGGTTGATAGAAAAGTAGAGAGAATGGAGGTTGAAAGAAAAGTAGATAGAATGGAGGTTGAAAGTCAGTAATCTCAGGTCTTCTCCCCCCGAATTCAGAGGACTCCGAGAGATGAGTTCTTCTTAACTTCTCCCTCTTTTTTCTTATGCCTCTCTCTCCTCCTCTTTTTCTGTTGGATTCTGTTATTATCTCAAAAAGTTTGTTAGAGATTCAGTTAGGCAGTTAAAATTCTGTTAGAAAAAACTGTTAGCCCCCTAAATCATAGTTAATTGAAGTTAGTTTTTTTTTTTCAATTCTGTTTTATGAAGTTGGTAGTTAGTTAAAAAAATTGTTATGGCCTAATAGTCTTAATAGTTAGTTAAGCTAAAGTGAGGTAGTTAGTTAAGGTTTTGGAATAATATTTGTTAGTTTTATCTGTTACAGTCAGTCGATTAAAAGACAATTAAGAGGCTCGATTTGGATTGACAACTTATTTTTTGATTATGCAGGGTCCAATTTGGATTTTGTCTGGTTATTTGATGCAAACTGCTTAAAGAAGTGCAAGGCTGAAGTGTTATGTTCTGGTTTAGACTAATGAGGTGCATTGAATGAGCAGGGGAGTATGGCTTGAAGATAACAAGGTTCAGTCGTTCTGCCATCTTCAATCTGTTGAGTGACCTCTTCCATTTTCTCATATTCATATTGACAGTGATACCATCGGTGAGTGAAGAGTCCCATAACTTGTTAAATAATTTATCACTCGTCATAAATCACGTTACAGGGATATAAGAAACCTCATTTTCAACAAGCATATATATCTCTTTGTTTCTCTGCTGAAATTACCAATCTTCCCATCTCCAAGGTCAGAATTGTCTGTAGAATACAAGGGTATAAAATCTTCAGTCTCTTCCTTGAGAATATGCAGGTTTCCTCTCTTCTTTTGGAAAGGACGCTCATGTGATTCAAAGCTAGAAGTAAAGTGAGCCCTAACTCCTACTGAATTATTAAAGCCAGTGTTTTCAGGATCATAAGTATCATCATCATTGAATTGGATGCTTTCAAACTTTCCACAAGACTTGGGAGACAAAGAAAGTTTTTACATATCTTGCTCAGCAGCTAATGATGCTCTGTGGTTCGCGATGAGCTTTTAGCTTTTGCAGCTTACTTCTTCTATTGGAGAGATATGTATTCTAATTTTCTGTTTCGTTTGGGAAAAATTGTAGTAAAATTAAAACAAGGCAATGGTATCAATTTGAATCAAACTTTGTATATAGATTTTCAAGCTCATGTATGGATATGTTTTTTTGTACTGCTAGGAATTTTCTGGTAACTAACATTTTCAATTGTGCCTCGAATGTAATCTTGGATGATATCCTTGCGATTCTTTCTATTTTTTTTTAGTATTTCCACTTGTAATGATTTGAGGATACTAATGAATCAAAGCTTCCTCTGATTTTCATTTAAAAATTCGAAATATTTTCTTTGATTTTGCAATATAGAATAAACCATAAAGTTTGACATCTCAAATAAAGGATGATGAATTGCTTCAAGCTTAAATGGAATCATATCTTTGACAATTTGATAATGACTTTGGACGATGAAGGGTTTGGATCTGTACCGGTATGATTCTTGAATTAAGTCTTGAACAAGCCTTCCATCTTTACAATATAAATCCATTTGACAAATTACGCCAAAATATTCACTTGAAAGGAATTTGAATAGAATCGGAATGAATGAGAAATGTCCTAAACTTCAAGTAATTCTCCTTTAAATAAATTCTCATAAAACGAACTAAAATTCGCATTGACTTTGAATGATATTTGAATCACCAACTTTGAATTCCATGCAAACCAATATATGAATTTTCTTGAATTAATCTGGGCTTAAAGGAATTTCTTGAACGAATCTTCAAATCAGCTCTAAGGAAACCCTTAACCTGGATCTTCAATTTAATCAGAATTCAGGAAGTAATCCTACCTTAATTCACAGCTTAAGCACCCAAAATCATTTTGATGAAATCTTCAATCAATCCTTAACCATGTAAAAAATAGCATCACAAGGGAAGATTAGTGTTCAATGTAGCCTTGAAGTGAGACATTAATTCGATAAATCTCCATAGAAGAATCACTACCAAGCTCAAATAAAATGAAGAGAAATCCTGATTCTATGGCTGAGTTAAACCCTAATGCCTTTATTCCTTGAAAGAACCCTGAAGAAAATTTTTTATCTTGAGGAAACCTAATAGAAAAGACATCTATGCTGCTTGAGATCCCAAAACCCTAATCTCATACCAAGAATAATGAGAGCACCAGTTGAATCAATTTTGAGTAAGACGACAACCTCAATTCAGAGAGAGAAACCCTAATGCCAAAGATCTTCGATCTTATAACCATGAGACCAATGCTATGTGTGAGATGTACAGAGTATGGTGAGGGATCTTAGGGGCAAAAATTGGGGTATAACAGCTGCCCTTATTTAAGTGTCTTCTATCTGGAGATACGAAGATTAAAATCTGCGTTTCGACGCGATTGAAGATACTTAAATACAAAACAAGCCCTATTTTTGGCCCTAAGATGCCATGTGATGCTTATGATTATGGATGTAACATATGAACTTCATGCAGATGGGAAAGACACACACTGGAGAAGCAAAAGTAGAATCTACAAATTAACAAAAGAATTCAATCAGGATACTAAATCTCTTGGAGAACAACACGACTCTAAGGATAGAAATTTAAATCTATTGGAGACTAATTGGCTTTGCTGGGGAAAAGAAAACTCAACTTCACTGGGGTAAGATCCAGAGAGGAGAAAAAATAACATAAGCTCAAAAACTGAGGGAAAAGTAATGGATGACAACAATCAACCGATAGGTGTGAACTATCCACTTATAGAGGAGATAGAAAAAAGAGAGTAACATCAACACAGGGGATCAGCAATCGCTAACCAGAAAAGATCAATATTACCTAAGAACGGTAATGAACTACCCACTCAAGAATGAAGGTAAAAAAACAAACATAGGACAATACTGACTTTTATTGAAGGTAAAGAAACAGAAGATACACCGACGTTTACTGAAGACAGAGAAAAGATAATGCACCAGCTTTTACTGAAGGTGATGTCTCAAAGAGCAATAACGAACTTCCCCAAATCCTGGCGTTCTTCCTAGAATGAGTAAAAATACAAGCTATCTTAAATAAAGAGACTACCACTTGTAAAGATTTCACAACAAACTTCTCTTGCGAAACTTCCTCGAAGAGATACCATTTGATGGGGAATCAGATAAACTTCCCCTCGAACCTGACTATAAGCCACGAACTGGTCTCAGTTTCTTCTTTAACCAAGATATTTCACCTGGAAAGGGTAAAAATACAAGCTATATTAAATAAAGAGACTACCACTTGTAAAGAATTCTCAACAAACTTCTCTTGCGAAACTTTCTCGAAGAGATACCATTTGATTGAGAATCAAATAAACTTCCCCTCGATCCTGACTACAAGCCACAAACTGGTCTTAGTTTCTTCTTTAACCAAGATATTTCACCTGGAAAGGGTAAAAATACCGCTGTAAAGGTCTTTCAACAAACTGTCTTTATCATTGAAGTACAACCAAACTCAACAACGGACCATCTCCCATAATGATGAGACTACCATTCATTGGAGTAACAAATTTCAGCAACGAACTACCTTCCCTAATGACAAGGCTACCATTCATTGGAGAACAATCTTCATCAACGAACTATCTCCCATAATAACGAGACTACCATTCATTGGAATATCAAATTTTCATCAACGAACTACCTTCCATAATGACAAGGCTACCATTCATTGGGAAAACAAATATCTTTTTACGTTAACAGACTTACTGGGAAGGAACAAGTTGCTCAAATAAAGAGAATCGCCGCTTGCTATTTTAAGAAGGAATTGTAATAAGACTGGCGAGAAATGAAGCTTGATTTCCCGGGGAAATACTAATACATTCCTGTTGAGGAGAAAAAAGTCTTTGCATGCAAAATAAATGCACATTCTCAAGTCAAGGCTCGAAGCCTACATAAATCAGAATAATAATGTTGTCGGGGACTACAAACTCAAACCAGAAATAAACTGGAATGAAATAATCAACCAAGTCAGCACCCGATGAGAAATAAACTCAAAATGGGATCACACTCCATCCAGATAATGAACTGAATGGAAAGGTTGAAGCAAAATTCTTCCACGAGGGATAACTCGGTGGGGAAATTGAAAGGATATACACTTTCTGTTTAACATTGACAACTCTATTAGAGAGAGAGTAACATAACTTTGCAAAGAGGATAACATGCTGACAAAGCATCAATGAATGCAAATGAGTGATGAATTTTAAATTCATCTATGCATGATGTGTATGAATGTATGGATGTCACCATGCACATGCTGACAAAATAACCATAATATATTGGGGATAACCAGACAAATCTACTCTTGGGTGAAGAAAATGTGCGGCCAAGTCACATGCAAGACGAGGATTAGATTCCACGAGAGGGTAAGCATCAACAGAGGAACAAAGTCCTATTTCACGAATTAACTTTGCTGAGAAAAACATGGCTTGAAAATAATTAAAGAACCACCATACTGGCAACAAATAAAGTTTCGGGAATATCATGAACTCTTCTATGTCTCACCAGGGAATACCAATACGGACTTCGATAAGGGAAGAGGAAGTTTTATTGTCTAGACTTCACTGTAGATTCCAAAACTAACTTCACTAGGGGAAGATGAAATCCATGTCGTCGAGGCTTCAACT